TGCTGAACCAGCTTCAGTTTTTCTCTATGCACACTTTTTCTTCGTGTTGGGGATGGGATAATGTGGGAAGTCGTGGCTTATTTTTGAGCTTTAGATAAGCCCTGTATCCCAAACCTTACTATTTTTAGCCGTATTGCAATATATTTCTATAAAGCCGCAGATCTTTTGCGAGATGTTTGATTACTGCAAATGATTTTACACTATCTTTTGTTGTCATAAAGTGCCTTATGATGGACCATATACGTCTGCATGGTACAAGTTTAGCAGCATTGTTGACTGATGGGATGGATTATTTTGAACTATAAGTAAAAGCTTCCATCAGTCAGAAAAGAACCTGTGAAATGTATTCTCCCATCTCTCGGGAGGCGCGTTGGAGCTTTTTAAGTATTTGGTCCTATTTTATGTCTTTGCCTTAAGCAGTTCCTAGTTAGTTAGTCTAGTGCTTACTGTTAACAGAACCTTTTGGTCTGAATGATTGCTACTCTGCAATAAATAGCTGTACTGAAACTCCTGTACCTCTACCAGAGCAATGTGAAAAATTAATGCTGAAATGCAATGGGAGGCTGCAGAAGAACATGGTTGTACCATGATTTATTAGTCAGCCTTATTTTTACTATTAGAAGGACTTTTTAAAAGGCGAACTGTAGTTTTCTTACCAAAACAATAAAGATGTTACAAAAAATTCTGAAATAATGAGTATTCTTGTGTTACTCATAGAAACAAAGGTGACGTTGAATATATCGATAATCAACTTAAGTGAAAAACAGAAGTAATGGTAAGGACGGACATCCTTGCATGTCTCATCGAAAGCAGTTACAGTCATTGAGAAGGCTTGGCTCCTCAGAGTACACAAGCTCTGTTCAATTGAGTTCTAATTGCCCCAGTTAAAGGCAATCCACGTGGCAGGATTTCACTTGGCTGTTTTTAACCCCACAACCCAAAATGTTGCTAAACAACTTGGAAAAGAAGTTCAGCAGGTAATCTTTTATTTCAATAAAACATACAATAGTGGAAACAAGATGCTCAACAATCTTCGATTTCAAGATAATCTAAAGTTCTGTAAACAGTTGAAGTGTGAGTCACACTTTTTTTAATTCTACTTCTTATGCTGTTAAGAAGTTAAGTGCAAACACTGGAAGTATCTTTTAACTTCATTTTAAAAAGCTTCAAATCATCAATGCAAAAGAAGTGTTTCTTTTACCTTTGTGGGCTTCCAGGCCATTGAAATGTGAGCACGGTACTGAAAGAACTAGGGAAGTTATAGTAATTTGTAATGGAAAAGATTCTTTTCAGTAAGTATATGTGAAGGAAATGCCTCTAGAGGGTTGTTTCAAAATAGATTTTTTTTTTTTTTTACCCTTGTAACGCTAGGAAGTAAAATAATGCCCCCAAAAGTGCTGAATGGCTGTGCTCCTTAAATTACTTTAACTGTGATGCATCCAATCAGATGCACAAGGTGATTAAAATGTAGATGTCACGACACCTATTAAGACTGATAATCTTCTATTTGGCTCTCTCCCATTATTCCATGTACAGAGACAGACATCTCAAGACTGGAATGTGTTGAAGTCTGCAAGCTGTGGGGAGCTACTTACGGTAGTCCATTAAGAAACAGGAAAAGAGCAGCATCAAGATGTTGGGATACTCAGTCCAGTCTTTCCAGGGAAGGTTGCTCTTCTGAAGGGGTAAACTTCCACCAGCTGTAGCTGGGGGACACTCAGTTGAGAAAACCCTATTTTTTTTTCTTTCTTTCCCACAGTTCTGGTTCTGCCTGAATTAGAACGATCGTTACAGTTTCAGGATTGTCTTTACTTGAGTGAAATAGTTGGTAATTTTTTAAAAGGAATAGAATTTTCACTTGTTTGGCCTTGACAAATATAATGAACTGGTGTAATTAAGAAATTTAAATATTTTTCTTAGGGCTATTCCTCCCTACAGCTTTTGAGAGCTGGGGCAGCCCAAATAGAGCCAGTCAGAAATTTTGAGGAGAAAAAAAAGTTCTTAATGAGGAAACCAATCAACTCAAAAAAATTCAGCTGTTGAAATGGGGCGTTTAAAAAAAAAGTTTAATGTATTTTTTCCCCCCAAGACTGATGATTTTGAAACATTCTGCTTTCAGGGTGAGATGTTTTAAATGACAATTCTTTTTTTTTTCTCCACACTCCTGGCTTCTGGGAGGAAAAAAACCAAACAACTGACTTCTCATTCTGATCATTGTCAAAATGTCAGGTCCTGTAGTGAGATGGTAAAATTATTGTTGTGTCAGTTCTACCTGCAAACAGACACGCTGCTCCCTCTTCTTCCTGCTGTGGAAGCTCAGGTGTCCTACCGCCCTCATTTGTCCTCATTGCTATAAAGCAGTAAGCCCACAGATGTGAAGCTAACAGTGCAGATGTCACCGTGAAGATTCAAAAATGTATTTACGTGTATGAATTTAGTCTTGTTGACTGTGTAGTCACCGAAGCGTCAGAGGAGTCTGTGCAAAGCACGGGCTTCGTTAGCTTTGGCGTGAGTTCATGCATTGGCCACATCTCTACCCAAATGAATGATGGACCGTATGTTTTCTGACTGCCTTTACCTCTTTTGGATCTTCTTTGTCTGTAATTATACCAAACCTGATGAATCATTTCTTTGAAAGGTCGTGTAGTCAAAGTGTAGAGAAGAGGATTCAAAGCACTATTTATTGGCAGTATAAAAATCACCACCCAAGAAGTTATGGTACCTTAGGGAGGGAAAAAGAAAGCAAGCTGTAATATGCATTCCAGCGTTTGTACCCGTTAATTAATGCAAGCACTCGATGCCGGTGCAGCATGGCTTCCCGGCGAGAGGGGTGGTCCTGTGCTCTTAGGCTGAGTTCATGTCACAACAGGTACTTTTCTTTTTCTTCTCACTGTTACGCTTGCACTGCCCTCTTACCTCCCTCTGTTCCCAGGACTCCCTGCAAAACCTGACGTTTTGTACTCTCCCAATAGTTCCACTGAGCCCTCTTACTTTTCTGTACCATAGCTCCCTCTTTGCCCTGGCACGCTGCTGCTTCTGGCTGAACCCCATTTTCTTGCCCCAAAACTTTTTGTCTCTTCTTTGCTCCCTGTCTCTTCCTGTGATGTCTGTTGCCCATCCTCTTCCCATGACCAGTGACACCCAAGCCTAATGATGTCCTGTCCTCCCACGAAGCAATACCCTCCGGTCCCTGTGTCCCCTCAGAGGCTGGTTTTCTCCTCTGCGCCAGGACTTCTCCATTCTTCCCCCTGCAAAAGGCACTGTGTACATCCTCCTTATTTCCTGCTTGCCCTTTTGGTAAGAGTTTCCATGTTTACACCATCTTCCTTTCTGAAGGTTTCCTGCTCTCCTGCCTGTGTCGGGGCCTGCATGCATTTTTCCAGCACCCCCTTCTCCTCCTTACCACTGGGGAGACAAGTCAGCTTGTTGCCTGAGGGGCAGGTGGAGAAGGGACAGGATTAAAGTGCTGAAAGGTGTTAGTGGGTGTGCTCCATTGCATCGTTTGATTTATAGAACAATTATAGAACCGCTCCAAGCGGTACCAACAGCTTAATTCATTCTCCCTTTCCCCCCTGCCCTCTGGGTTTACGTCTTTGTTGCAATATCAATACGTTCCTAGTGATGCCCGTAACATTCTCTACAGTTCTGGAAACAAGCAGATGCTTAGTTCAAAAGCTGTGATAGCGTATCCCCAAAGCAAAAGCAATGCTACCAAACGGGGTTTAAAACTTCTGTAAACTTAGACAACTATCTGTGATGTCTTTAATTTTATGAAATGAGTAATTACTGTTTAATCTGGTTTATCTAACGCAGAACATTGATGTGCTGAACCCAAGATCACCCTGCCATTCAGCAGTATTTCTTCAAGGTCTCTTGACTCAGAATACATACACTTCCACTTGTAACAATATTTTCTTTAAAGTTTCTTAAGCATTTTGATAACTTAATGAAGAAGCATTTTAGAAGATTTAAAATAACTGAAAAAATTTGACACAATCAATATAACTTTCAGACATTTGAGATGCAAGTCAAAACTTTGAGAAGGTAACACCCAACACTCCTGGTCAACACATAAGGCAAAATTCTCTGAGCTAAAATGTTTTCTCGCCAACGTAGTATAGTGACATATATCTGCATGTTGAGTCTGAATCCGCTATTGCTGATGGTACTGTGCACATTCACCTGTTCTTTCTAACAGGGTTTACAAGCCCTACATAAAGAGGCTATTTTTTTTCCTGACATGTACTGGTATTGCAAAGAGAAGGAAAAAATAAGGTGTGATTTTTAATCTTTTAGGTTACGCTGTTTTTACATGGGAATATATTCGTAGCATAAAGAAGGTAAGCACAGCTTTATATAACAAAGTTTTGAACTATAAGTACCAGTTGGTAAAAGAAAGTTATGTCAGGATAAGAGTTATATTCTTAAATGAAGTTAGGAAATACTGTGCTGTCCTGAGCCATATTTAGGCA